TTCTCAAAAGCTGCAGAAGGCACCAGAAAAGAACCAGCTCAAATCTCAGCCACAACTGATATGCTTCCTCCTGTTTGCAGTTAAATCACACTTGTCAGTTTGTGAGGTACAAGCCAGGAGCTTGCTGCCGTGTCTTGAAATTAGACATAAACCAACGCAAACCTGCAGAGAGATTTTAATCCAAACACGATTTGGGGATTTCCCTACTGTACCAATGTAGACTTTTAGCTAGAAGAAGGTATGAGATGTTGCCTCTTGACAGTTCTTTGCTGCTGGTTTGTTTAAATTGTGCCTGGAGGCGATTGCAGAGGTTTGCACAATCCAAGGGAAGGTTCTTACGGAGGTGTTCAGCAGAGCCCATCAGCACATGATGGCGAGTCCTGCGTGTGCTCCTGTGGGTTATTTTTGCCTTTTAACTGCATTAAGTCCCCTGTCATGTCCTGGCTCTGCCATTGATCAGTGCTAAACAGCAGGACGTGCTGGCTGGGCAGAAAGGCAGCGCTACCCGCTCATTAAGATATCTAATTACTGAGGGGAAAGGTAATGCTGTGCTTCGAGCACTGAGGTGTTAGACAAATGCTTGGGGATGTCACTCTGATGGCAGTCCTTATGTAGATAAGTCACTTCTGGCTGTCACCCTGCTCTGTGGTGTGCTGGGATGGAGTTAATGGGCACACACCATCCCTAGGCCTGCTCAGAGCCGTGCCTGCCTTGCACACTAAATACATTTGTGCTTTGCTTCTGCTTAAATCTGTGATGGAGGCTGGCTTTGGCAAGCCTGGACCGAGAGCTGGTTGGCAGAGTAGTCAGTGTTCTGTGTAGCAGGGCTTACCTGGCTGTGTTGCCTGATAACCTCCTGCTTCCTCCAGCTTTTATCAGAGCACTCCCAATCCGCACAACCCACGGTGGGTGGCACGCCAGGAATGCTTATCGAGGGCCATTGTGCTCTTATCTAGCCCTTCAATAATACATGGCATTGATTTTTGCTGTGTTGAATACTATATAGTGTTTACATTCCCCGGAATAATTCAGCAGGGTAAACAGATAGTATTCTTTGGAGGTAAAGTCAATATTAACAGCTTTCGGGAGAGCACTCGCTGTCTCTCTTTGATGGAAAGCAACCTTTTCTCCTGCCTGTGCTTCGAAGGGGCTGTAATTTCTGCAGAGCAGTGTTCCCTTACAATGCCAGTCAGATGCTGTGGCCCTGGGGCTGGTTTGGGGGATCCAGGATATTGCCTATCAGCAGTTTTTGCAGGCAGTAAATTCTGCTGCTTCAGGTGCCTTTGGCTGTTTTTCTGGGACTGTGGCTATTCACAGCTTCAGTTCAAAGGTGGAAGCCATCCATTATTTATCTAGTTGACCTTCTGGAGCAATTTGAGGTGTATTTGTGCAGAGGATCTGCTGGAATTGCATATTATAGGGTAAACTGAGGATGCTAATGGAAATTCTGTGGTGAAGGCTGTAAACTGCTTCCCACAGGCTTTGTGGCAAGTGGAGGCAGCCAGGAATTGTGGACTCAGCCTCTGACATAACTGCACACCTCCAAGCTGCAGACATGGCAATGTGAGCACTGAAATCAGCCCATCCTCAGGCTTAGAGCTGCACCTGCAGCTTCGGAGGTTTTTTGCTGGTGCTGTTTGGTCCTGCACGTGCTGCTTTGAATAACAGCAGCTCAGGAAGTTGTTCCGTGGTGGTGCCCTTTGGAGCATGGAGTAGGAAGGTCCTTTGTGCCTGTGTTGGGGGGATGTCACTGGTGCCATGGGGCATTGAAAACTTCCTCTTTTTTTCCTTCCTGGAGAGGTTGAGATCTGCCAGGTGTCCAGAGTGCTGCTCTCATCCAGAGACTCTCTCCCTCTCTCATGGTTTTTGGTGTTTCCTAGCACCTCATTAAACAAAGAAAAAACACATAGGATGAAACAGTTCCTGCTTAAATAGACCCTGACATCATCATAAATATGCAGAGCTCTGTATTGCTCCTGGAAAACCGGCAGGCCAGGAGTTGATGGAGCCTCTGGGCAGAATATGAATGCCTTGATTTTCTCTCCCCCTGAGCAGCAGTGAAGAGGGCTGCTAGGACCAGCCAGGAGAGACCCAGCTATAATTGCTTGCCTGGAGCAGTAACATATTTCTGCACACCAGCTGAATACCAATGAGGACAGAAGGAAGGAAGGTATCAAACAGAACTGCAGGCAGGAGGAAAAAGAGGATAAGTGATTAAAGGAAGACTTGGAGGCCAAGAATGAAGACAATAGGCCAGTTCTGATTAGGGCATTTTACCAGGGAGCGATTTGGATTTTTAATGAATTTTTCCATGAGCTGAATGCATTGCAGAGCTGGTTGGTGAGAAAGGGAGCAGGAGCAAGGGGCCAGCAGTGTGACCCCAGGTGCCACTGAAAAAGGCTGCTGCAAAGACAGAGGCAGGGAGAGGGGAACTGAGCCCGGGATAACTTAACTGAAAGCAAGCACATCCTTTTGAGATTGGTGAGATTAAATTTCTGACTTGGGCCTTTTCCTTCCCAGTTCTCCTTTCTGGAATTGCTGACAAGAACCTGTGCCACGTGCTCTGGGATGGCTCTGCTTGAGCAGAGAGTTTGGACCAAGTGTCCCTTCCAACCTGAACATTCTGGGATTTAGGTTTAAGCAGTCAGAACCTTTGAAGTCCCTTTCTTTCCTCTGTAATTGCCAACTTAAGATAGAGTTTTGTTCACCCTTGTGTGCTTGGAGATGATAATCAGGGGACAGACCAGCCCCTCCATGACCACAGAACTCCAAAGGAGCTGCCCTTTGCCCAAAGCAATGTTTCCCTGCCCTTCTGCCTGCTCCTGCAGGACATGACTCAGGCCAGGGGTGCAATGGATGGTGCTGGCTGCACTGCCTTCACCACGAAGGTGTGGAATAATACTCAGTTTATTTTAATTCTGTCCTTAAGGGAAAAAAAAAAGGAGCCCAACCCAAAGCAGCATGATGTAACTTTCAAGCCTAAGGTGAGAGGAAGCATTGCAGCCTCACAGGGTGTTTTGAAGCAATTTAGGTGCTTTGAAAGCACATACAACCCTTGAGCTGCCTCTGAATTTTCCTTTAGGGTCTGGTAATGGGAACTAAACATGGAGATCTAATGAGCTAAAAATAATGCTGGGAATAACAGGCTTAGTGTCTCATGAGTCACCGAATGTCACTATCTGCCTTTTCTTCCTGAAATAATGTTGTGGAGGCTTTGGAGGAGCTGTGGTGGGGGGACTGAAAACCTGGCAGTGCAGCCCTCATCGCTAAGCTCCAAAATCCTCACCTGTGTCCCTTTCTGTGGGCAGCTGCACGTTAAAAATAGCCCGGGAGAGGCTGTTTCCAGGCAGCAGCAGCGTTTGAGGTACCTGGGCATCCGTGAGCGCTGCTCCCGGCTGACGTCACGGCTCTGCAGGGACCAGGAATGCGATGTTAGACCCGTGTCTTGGCCACGCTCAGGGTGTGGGCTGTGCTCAGAGGCTTCCAGCCTTGCCCCAAAGCGAGGAAGCTGCTCGGACCTGGGAGCTGCAGCGATCCCGTGTCCTTTTCCTGCAGCAGCAGGTGCGAAACAGGCTTTGCTGCATGAGTGGCGTTCAGAGGTTTGCCTTAGGGGGGTGTTTCGAGAGGGGAAGGAGCGTGTGGGTTTGACCTATATCCTGCACATCATGTCCAGGAAGCCTGAAAGGCGTAATGGGAGGAATGTACTCTCATTTTCACCTCCATTAATTTTATCGGATTGCCGCGTTACATTTAGATCGTAATTGCTAGAAATACAGAAGGAAGGAGAGGGCAAATTGTCCTGTTGCTCCCTGGCTGATCAGCTACAGGGATTCCGTTGTTTTAAAGCTACATGTATAGGAAAAGGTGCTGTCATGTGGTATGGTGTTGGGCTCGGGCTGAAAACATCTTTTTTGTACTGGAAATGTTCTTTGCTTTGTTAGAGGGAATCGGTGAATGAGCAATTGCTGAGACTGCACAGAAAGGAGAGATTCCTGCTAGCAGCCAAGTGCAAAAATGTCTCAGCCTTCCGAAGCATCATCATGTGTTTTATTTGCATGAATTTTTTGAGCCAGCTTTTCAAAAGCAAACAGAAGTTACCAGCTCTGTTTGTTTTTCCCCAGCCAGCTGATGTAGGGAACTGTAGCCGAATTGAGAGCAGTGTAACCTTTCGGGGGGAGTGGGAAACAATTTGGTTGGAAAAACCTATCCCCAGGTGAGCAGATGGTGGGCCCACAGTTTCCTGTTTTGGAAGAAGAGCTCTATATGGGTATTTAAAACTCCATACAGAGTCTGCTTTAGGATTTGTACATTTTAATGTACTGCTGCCTTTTCCCTTGCCCCACCACAAGCTCTGAAATGGCTGGTGGTAATTCCTGTACTGCCCATGCTCTTCAGGCTTTTAGTGCACTAATTCGCAGTTGTTGTGTTAATACAAACGCAAATATTTTCTTACCAAACCCTCCTATCTGAGCTCTCAGTGCTGTATCCTTTGTACAAGCCCACGTCCTTTGCGAAATGTGGCCCTCAGCTTCCACCTGCTGTTCAGAGCCAGAACGGCAGCCCTGCCACAAGTCCAGGGAAATTAAAATCATGGAACACGCTGGGTTGGAACCCACAAGGGATCCTCGAGTCCGGCTCCTGGCCCGGCACAGGACCATCCCCAAGAATCCCCCCATGTCCCTCAGGGTGTTCCCCAAACGCTTCCTGAGCTCTGGCAGGCTTGGGACTGTGACCACTTCCCTGGGAGCCTGTTCCAAATGTTAATGTAAATTTCAATGCCAAGTGCTGAAAGTTGAATGAGATGAAAGTGGAATTTGTATAACAATATAAAGCAGGTCCTGCTAAGGCTTTTGGTTTGGCTCAGATTAGTATTTAATGTATATTCCCAGAACTTGGAGAAAACAGGTGATTTCCACTGCTCAAATGAGGCAGCTTGTAGCTGTTTTAAGAAGGGATGTGCTCTCAGTTCTACAGAAGTATGTTGTTCTTCTCTTTTCCAGCTAAAAACCACAGTGACACCCAAGTGTTCTTCTACCTGTGGATTATCTTCTGTTTCATCAGCTCTTGCTATACCCTCATTTGGGACCTGAAGATGGACTGGGGTCTCTTTGACAAAAATGCTGGTGAAAATACCTTTCTCCGAGAAGGAATTGTCTACCCACAGAAAGTGCGTATGCAGCCTGCTCTTCCCTTAGGACAGGCTTGTGACATTCTAACCAAACTTGCTGAGTTCAGAGCATTTTGCAGTTGGCCACCAGAGCATTCCAAAGCTACAGGCTGGGATTTTCCAGCAGTAGAGCTGATTTGTTTCCAAGAGATAATTTCTGTTGGTTTTGCTTGCATTTGAGCAGCAGATTCTGTAGCTTCCCAAAGACCTGATGAGGTCTTTTTGGTGCAGAAGGTGTTTGTTGAGCTGTTTTGTTCTTGTTGCTCCTCAGGCATACTACTATTGTGCCATTGTAGAGGACGTCATCCTGCGTTTTGCGTGGACCATCCAGATCTCCCTCACTTCCATGCAGATCTTTCCCTACGCTGCGGACATAATTTCTACTGTGTTTGCCCCACTCGAGGTGTTCCGGTAAGGCTGCTGGGCTGAGCAGCTCATTTCTCTTGGATTTATTTTCACATTTTTCTGCTGTACCATCAGCATGGAGGGGGAAGCGCCTGGGTCCTTGGATGAGGAATATGCTGGTTTTTATTTCAAGGAGACCAGGATTAACAGGAATATTTAATCCAAAGGGGATGCTGAGTAAAGAAAGGGGGTAGGGGGCTCTGCCACAGTGTGGAGCTGAGTCCTTCACATTGAGTTTGCAGTTCTTTCTGAACTGTGACATAATCTTGAGGGGTTAGTTTTTTACCAAATTTCTCCTTGAAATTTCCAGATCCTCAAGTTTCCGATTTTCAAACCTCTGCTTCTTTTCCAAATGCTAATTTGTATTCTTGCATCATCGATTTGGATCCTTCAAGGTTCCAGGACGTTTAAACACCTTTTCTGTAGCTGGAAACCCACCCTCACAGCTTCCTGGGAAGAACTTGAAGCTGACCCTCACTCACATACATCCTGGAGGTGGCCTTTGGCTCGTAATGCTTGGTACCTCCGTGTTGTCCATATTAGGGCTGTCAGCATTAGGATAGGGAATGTTGTTCTCCAGATGTTGCAGCAGGTGCTGCCGTTGGTCATTGGCTGTTCCTCCAGGTGCAGACCCCAGTGCTTTGCCCAGCGCAGGAAATGCCTGTACAAGGTGAGCTCGGTTGGAAATTCCCCCTTTTCCTCTCCGTGCAGGCGGTTTGTGTGGAACTTCTTCCGTCTGGAGAACGAGCACCTGAACAACTGCGGCGAGTTCCGCGCCGTCAGGGACATCTCGGTGGCTCCGCTCAACGCCGACGACCTGACGCTCCTGGACCAGATGATGGACCAGGAGGACGGCGTCCGGAACCGCCGCAAGAACAAGCAGTGGAAGCGCAGCCTGAGCGTGTCCCTGCGCAGGCCTCGCCTCGCCTCACAGTACGTTCACAAACCCTGCCCTGCTGCTGCTGCTCTTCGTGCCTGCTGGGAACGCTGCACTGGGATCCATGCACTGGGATTCCTGCACTGGGACCCCTGCACTGGGACCCCTGCACTGGGATTCCTGCACTGGGATTCCTGCACTGGGATTCCTGCACTGGGATTCCTGCACTGGGAACCGTGCACTGGGAATCCTGCAAATATTTCAGCCCAGTCTTCAAAGCGAGGACAGGTCCAATTAGTAAACGAGTGCCTCTCTCTGCCACAGGATTAATCCATTAACCCCACTAATTTACACATATTGGGGTTCTGATAAACCATCAGAAAAGGGAGTTCCCTTTTTACAAGCTTCTCCTCCTGCAGAAATAGTCTGCCAGAGGTTATAAATGCAAACTGGAGGAGAGGTTCCCCTCAACCACACATTTTGTGAAAAAATCTCCCTCTTGTGAAAAAGGGGGAGAAGGGACTCTTTATACCTCGCAGTGACAGAAGGGGCAATGGTTTTAAACTGACAAAGGACAGGGTTAGATTAGATATTAAGAAGAAATTCTTCTCTGTGAAGGTGATGAGGCCCTGGCACAGGTTGCCCAGGGAAGTTGTGGCTGCCCCATCCCTGGAAGTGTTCAAGGCCAGGCTGGATTTGGCCCTGAGCAGTGAAGTCTAGTGAGTGGTATCCCTGCCTGTGGCAAGAGGGTTGGAACCAGATGATCTTTAAGGTCCCTTCCAACCCAAACTATTCTATGATTCTGTATGATTCCAGTTTTTCTTTGGTTAAGGTTCATACATAAGATCTCAGACCCCTTCCTCTCTCAAATCCAAACCCCTGCACTTTTTCTTCCCACCCGTCATTCTTGCACCCCAGACGTTTCCCCGTCCTGCACCCCAGCCCCTGAACCTGCCCACTGTGTGTTTTCCCTGCAGTGCCTGTGTGTGTCCCTCCTGCCCTTTGGCCAGGGAACAAGCCCAGGCTCCTCAGGGATGCTGAGGCACAGCGGGTCAGGAGTGTTGTGCAATCCCTGCAGCACTGCATGGGAGGGGTGGGAGGAGGAGGGTGTGCTCTGGCCTCAGGGCTGTGCTTGGCTCTTATGCCTGCACGGATGGGACCAATACCAACAGCCTTGGGGTGGCTGCTAGAGACTGAAAAATGTTATGCAAAGGGAATGTGGGCCAAAGCCTGGTGGAATTCCCTCCAGCCATGCCCATTTACCCCTCAGCCATGCAGTCAGTGGAGATGTGCCAGGCATATCCCTAAAGAACTTCCTGTTCCTTCCTGCAGCCCAGCGGGAGGTGGGGCAGGAACATTCCTCTGGATCCTGCAAGGGTTTGGTGGAGTTGTGTGGGGAGGGCTGGGCGGCTGCTCCACACCCGGCAGTGCTGTGTCCTCAGCCGTGTCCCAGCCTGGCAGGTGACACTGGCCATGGGCAGAGTGTGCCCAGCATGGTGTGCAGTGGGCAGTGCCACAGGAGGATGCTCAGGGACAGCTGGAGCATCTTTACAAGGCTCTGCTATTGTCAGGGAGAGTGAGAGGGTGTGAAACAGTTCCAGTAGGTTGTTTATTCCCCCTCTGCATAAGAAAGGCATTTTTTCCCTTTTTTCACTGTGGGTTTGTCTGCTGTCATTCCAGGAATTCCTTCTCCCCAGTGAGTGTTCTGTGTTTTGTTTTTTTCCAGGTCCAAGGCTTCTGACACAAAGGTATTGATAGAGGACCTAGCAAACGAAGTGAACACATGAGATGGCCACGTTCTCTTATTCCACATCCTTTGTTTTCTCCTTCTGTTTCCCTCTTCCCCAAGTAACCCGAGCTCTGGTACAGATCCAGCTGAAAACAGGAGAAAACACTGAACACGTTTTCCGAGCTCTTCCAGACCAGATCCTATGGACTCCAACAAGCTCACTGTGTTTTGTTTCTTTTCTTCTGGGTTAATTTTAATGTTCTATTTTAAACAAACAAACAAACAAACAAAAAAATAAAATATTTTACTTTCTTTTGCCAATAAAGAGGACAGTTCAGGAAAGAAGGATTGTTTACAGTCTCAACAAGGACATACAAACCTTATCTGGATAACGAAGCATCATAGGGACTCCCTCATGGGACAGTGCCGAGAGCACGCTCGGTTTCTGCTTGGCCCGGTTTTGACTGGTTGAAACCGGACTTTTTAAATCGGATTTGTTTTGGTTGGTTTTGGTTTTTTTTTCCAGTTGTTTTTTTCCTTCATATCCAGCGCTGAGGCACTGGCTGCACTTGCAGGGAAAGTGCACTTAGAGCAGTATCTTCATTCATGAAGCTACTTTTTAATTTGATGTAACTTTTCTTATAATTTTTTGGAAATATGATGTATCTGTTGCATATAGTTTTCACATTATTTATGAAAGTTAACAACCATATGAGAGTGATTTTGAGTCCTGTGCAATGAAGGTTGTAATGGTAAAACAAAGTGGGGAATGTAGATCTCCAACTCCAGGGTTGTGGGGTGATGCCCCTGCAAATACCCCTCTTGTGAGACAACTTGCACCTGTGTGTACCTTCTCTCTCTTCTCTTTTACTTCTTTTCAATTTTATTTTAAACCAAAGTTACTCTTTCTGATATTTTTTTAGTTGCTGCTACTGCTTCTGGGCATGTCTCTTGTGCTGGTTCAAAGCCAACTTCTCCACGTGTGAAAGTAGTGCAGATGATCCTAAGGAGAGGAGAGTTGGTTCCCACCAACAGCATAAAACACTGCGTGAACAAAGGCTTTGGAACTTCAGTCTCCAGATCAAAAAGTACTTTTCCAAGCCTTAGATGTGTCATGAGGGCATCTCAGTCCGAGCAAGGAGCTTTTGAGTTCTCCAGCAGCCCAGCAAAGTGGGACAAGGCGAGGAGGTGACAATTCTCATGGCACAGGGCGTTCATCAGGCTGGGGCTTAGGAATAGTAGGGTGTGTTTCACGGAGCATGGAAAGAACTGTGTGCCCATCTGATGGAGAAGGTGAGATGGAGAACTGCTCTTCTGTGGTTTCTGGTTTAGCAGAAAGCCTCTGTTGGGCACTGTCCTGGTGGTCTGCCCCTTGGCTCATCTCATTCTCCCAGTTCGGGATATTTGAGCAGACTTAAGTAGACAACTGAGCAAGTTATGTTGGAAGGGAGATGTGAATTCGATGGCCTTGTTGGTCTCCCCTCCCTCCTGGGAGGGAGCCATGGAGGCCTCAGAGCCCTCTCATCCTTCCCTTGGCACACCTTGTTCCTGTGGGTCTGCAAGGGAAGGGTCAAACTCCCGAAGGAGGAGCCTCCCCTGGCTGGTGACAGTTTTGGCAATGGAATTGCAGGAATCTCTCCTCCGTGGCTGTTTGGTGGTTGTTTCCCTTAACCAGCACAGTGTCTCCCATGGCTGGTGTGTTGCATTTCCTCAGTTTGCCTGCTGTGCCTCTTGCTCTTGCTGAAGAAGGCAACTTGGTTCTCTTAATTTAATTGGAAATAGATTAAAGCCCCGTTGTGGTGCTGCTCCTCTCATCTTCCTCTGTGTGGAGCTGCTCTGATGGGAGCAGAGCCAGATGAGCTAGGACTGTGCTCTCCATCTCCCCTGGATTCCTGTCTTTACCTCCCTTAGGTCAGTTCATACTTAAAATGGAGCATTCCCATTCGCATGGAAGTGGAGTCTGGGTTATAAAGCCCCTTAAAGTATTTCAGGTTCCTAATTTGCATTGGTGCCATGTCCAAACCATGTGGAAGTATTTCCAGCAGTGGGGAATGGAGCCATCCCTGCCTGGGGAGGTTAGGGGAGGGCAGCTGCACTGGAAGGGAGGCAGTCCAAAATTATTTGGATTCATTCAAATCAAGTAACATCACTGGGTGTTACTTAAGCAAGTTGGTTTTTTATGCAAAGAATCTGAGCTTTACTGGTAATTATCCTCTTTTCAGAGGGAAATTAAAAATACAGAGAGACATGGTGAGCAATTTGGTTTAATGGAGGGTGTCCCTGCCCTTGGCAAGGGGTTGGAACTATATCATCCTTAAGGTGGCTTCCAAGCCAAACCATTCCATGGTTCTGTGATTTGGAAGAGATGCTGTTCCCTGGGAGCACTCTGCCTTCCACAGCTGGGCTGGGGAGGGCAGGGCATGGCTGGGTGGCCTCTGTCCATCCTGCTGCTGCACCGTCCAACCCTCTGCTTCCCAACATGCTGGGGAGGGTTGGGGTGCAAGTGAGTAAATTCTTATTCTGTAGTTTACCCAAATCCTTATGGGAAGCAAGAATTCAGTGTGTCCATCTGCTCTGTTCCTTGCTCTGCTCTTTCCCTTTTTCTGTCTTTGCTGGCAGGAGAAGTAAGGGGGAAAAAAAAATAAGGAGGTGGCATACTATGACGAGCAAACATTATCTCCTAAAATAAAACATTGTCCGTTTTGGCACTGAAGATGCTGTCTCAGGGGAAAGCAGCCTGAATTCCCAGAAGTGTGGCTTTTAAAGGCTCCTAGCTCCCAGCCCTGGGTCTGCCTGTTCCCTCCCTCCCAGAGATTTCTGAGAAACCGGGCATGCAGATTCCTCCTGAGAGCGAGCACTAAAGCCAGGATGGCTCCACATCTACGAGAACATCTGGCCAATAAAGGGAGACCTAATGAAACAGAACAGATGGTGAGAGAAAATAGCCCTGTCGCTCCTTGGGAGCAGCAGGAGCGAGGGGAGTGGGGACATTCCCAGGGTGGCTTCATTTCCTGAACTGGGCTTTGCTCATGGGTGCTTGAAAACACTCCTGTAGGGAGAGCAGCGTGGTGGCATTCCAGAAGGACAGAGCAGCCTTAAAAGGAGCTGAGGGTGAGGGGTTTATCCAGGGCTTTAGTTGTTGGGATGCAGCTGGATGGGAAGGGGAAGCTGAGGAAGGTCTTCAAGCTCTGGCTTTCAGGTGTTGGGCTGTGCCTCGTGATTCAGTAGAGGTTGAGTTTGACAGCTCTGAGGATGGTGTGGAGCTGTTTTGGTCTGGTGAAACCCATTAGGATGGTGCAGTCTGAGAGGAGATGCCACACTGTGGCATTTGTGACTTTTGGAGGTTCCCTTTGAACTTGCTTCTCCATGCTGATTCCCTCCTGCTTTCCATCCTGCCGCTCCTCTGGGGATTTGGGGGTTGCAGGGGGTGAGGTGTTGCAGCATCCAGAGTTTATTTGCTGGCTGGCTTCCCCATGTGGCTTTGGGATGGTGTCACCAGAAACACCAGGTCCCTGTGCTGGGGCTGGGCAATGCCATGTGCCATGGGTGTGTTCCTGATAGGACAGCAGGGCAGGATTGGGATCTTTGGACTTGGCAAGCAGGAGTGGGAGCTTCTCCAATGAGAACCAATGCTGTCCCACCACATTTTAAAAGAAATGCATTTGCAGCACTCCTGGCTGCAGCCTGTATGTATCCAACGAGCTCCTACCTCTCTCATCAGGTGCATTCCCAAAGTCAACTAAAAAAAGTGTTCATCCAGCACCTTTCCTAACCCTGCTCCTGGCCCTCCTCATTCTCTCAAGTGTCTTTGCTGTTTGATTCCAATAAAAGGGGTCAATCGGCAGCAGCCTTCAGCACAAATATCTTGGAATGGGAGAGATCTCTGGTGGAAATCTCAGCAGAGTTGGATCCTGCTGTTCCTACTTCCCCAAAAACGCTTGTGCTGTTTGTTCTGCCTCTGTGCTGGCACTCAGCTCCAAGGCCAGTGTGGCAGACAGGGAGGGAAAGCATGTTCCTGGTTCAGGAGATAACAATCCCTGGGGATTTTACTTCCAACGAGCAGTGGAGACAGTGTGAAGCCTTTGCTGTGTTTTGAACGGCCAAGTAGATTTGGCCTTGTCCTGCAGGGATGCTGCCATGCTCTGCTCTCTGGGCTTTGGGGGCTGTGTCCCCAGTGTCAAGCCATGTGCTGGGAAGTGTCCCAGGGCTGGGATATGGCTTGGCAAGTTGGGGACACAAAAGCCACTTTGCTCACATGCTGCATCCCAGCTCCATGTCCTCCCTTCTCTCTTCTGCCCTTCTGCTTTGCACTAGCAGGGGCAAGGTGATCTTCTGCCTTAAACATTGTTTGTTTTTTTTTTTAATTTACATTTTTATTCCAGAAGGCAAATGGATTGTTTTGTCTCCTTGGAAAAGAGGGGCTGGGGCTCCTGGGGGAAGAGTGGGAAATCCCTGTGGTACCTCTGCAGCAGTCACGGCTGGGCTCAGTGGCTGTCACCTCATCAAACCTTGCCTCCTTTACATGACCCCAGCCCCAAACTCTGCACCTTGGGGCAAGTGTCCCCTGCTGCCACCGTGGGCTAAACTGGTGTGTCACCATCCCTGGGAGCTTCGATCCCTGCTGCAACACCCCGGGAAAGGGACACAACATGAGGAGCACCCCGATGCTGACACCCCAGCCCTGCTCCCAGTGGGAGCCCAAGGCTGCCCCGGCCCTGGCACAGCCATGGCTCAGTGGGCAAGAGGCACTGGCCCTGCCTGGCAAGGTGCCCTGCTGCCTGACAGTCCCTCAAGCTCTGTAAACCAAATTGCAAACTCTTCACTCCAGAGGAGAAATTGGGCATCCTGGTAGAACTCGCGATGACCTCTCCACCCCGTAGGTCCTTGTGGCGAAGGATCGGCGCTTGGAAGGGGCCCAGGGTGGAAATGCCAAAGTTCCCCCCAGGTCCCGCTGCCGCCTTCCTCTCCCCCTCCCTGCTGTGTTGGTCTAAATGATCTTTATGAAGCCCTGTAGATGTCAAAAGTAATTATGGAGTGTGATTAGTCCTCTGTGGGTGCTTTCTTTCTTCCCCCCTCCTTTCTCTTTTGCTATCCCCTTCTCCACTCTTCTGTTTTGGCTCAGTGGAAAAGGTGAGGACAAAGAATTGCTGCTTGCTTGGACTCATGATGTATCTGTGACTGCGCTATTAGCTGTCTCCTCCTTCCTCCCCAAATGGATATAATTTTTGAAGTGTGGAATTCCCTTCTTGATAAGTAGGTTTAAAAAAAATACTGCACAATGTGATACTGTTTCATAGTTTCTAGGTGGTTGTATAAAGCAAAGTTACTGTGATTGTGTTTTTTCA